AGCATATACTATTTACTGGATACGTTGACGAGTGTTGACAGTCGAAATCAACAATACACAATCGAATATTATTGCTCGACAATGTTCGACCGTCAAATAATCAGTTATAGAGTGTATTTGATAGAATGAGAATTCGACTTTCATTGTTAAGTGAAATGAATGAGAAATTAGCAGAAGAGAACACTTTTGGTGATGAAAGTTATGAGAGCGATTGCAACATGAAAGGAAAAGAATGAAAACCCTGTTAAAAGGAATGAAAACCGTGTTAGGCCTGAACGAGCTAATGATACTCAGAAAATAGGAGAATGAAGAGTGTTGCCATCAACCCGACCCCATCCCTTACCCCTTGACACTTCCCAATTACCCAATATGGATAATTTCACCCCTATGAGAACCACCGCTCTAAATGATCAAAATAAGTGCAAATTTTATGAATTTCAATGAGAACTTTCACCAACTTTTTTGGCCTCCACATTGACGCTATTTCCAGTACGCTTCATTCTGACTGTTTCCAAATCCGTATCATCGGGAAGTCGATATTGACGTGAGAGTCGCCTTCGAGGCAGATTCGGATAGGTGGGTTCCTCTTGGTCTGCGTGAATTTGGAGGTCATATCCATAGACGCGTACCTAGAAATTTGTAACAGAGAATTCATTTTTGTCGATGTTAATTGCAGAGCCTCAAGAAAATCATCATCAGTTCTATATACCTGCACCTAATCTAACTCCGTGATCAATACTGAAAAATGCTATCGAATCAGCAAACGATGCGAACAAAAATCTGTTCAGGTGGTCTTCAAATTCCAGTGCTGAATCTAGAATTAGATAGAATTCTCTTGTGAACGACATCTTCAAATCGAAATTATACCAATAATTTAGACGCTATGATACTGATAATATTGATAATTGGAAACTGATAATTCTGAAGTGATAATCTGAAGCGGAAAATCGGAATGCTTAAACATTCAATCACAGTATCCAATCTTTTAAACATTCAATCTGAAACTTACGTCGATTTCCTCGGGTTTATAGTCAGCGAAGTAGTTCAGATTGATTCGTGCCTTGAAACCCTCGGGTGTATCCTTAACAAGCGCAAATTTGCCTGCTTCTCCACTGAAATTTAATATTTGTTCGCTGTTGAAGCGTTTGAGAATTCACATTTCCTTCAACAGGAACTCTCATTTCGATCAGCGCATTGGTGAAATAGATCGATCGCTTGATCAATCAACCAGATAATATCCGTGCTACAGTAATTATCATTTAGACATTTACTGATGCCCTATCACCTGATTAATCATAGTGGAAGTATTTTACGCCTGAATTGTCTATCGCAGTCATTGATGAGAGACTGGCATTTGGTTCTCCTCTCATGGAGTCATCTGAATTGTTGTCTAACCTTGGTATTTCCCAGTCACAGCTTGACATTCTTCGGATTCTTTTCGAGGTACCACCGAACTGATTAGCGGCACGATCAACATCAGTTATCATTGTAGCCAGATGCAATACTCAAACAAATCCAATTGAAATGAAATCAGATCTTTCAGTTAGTCACTGACGGAAAATTGAGAGGATTGAGTAGTGTGGTAAGTTGGTCTTTTGATTACTGAAGTAGTGTCTTGAAGCAGATGTTGAAATGTTGACGATGTGGTGAGTGAGTTCACACAGTTCAAAATTACTGCGTGTTTATGACGGAGGAGAAGCAAGTTGTGAGGTGAGGAGTTCTGAAAAGAGAAGTTGAGAATAAAACTGATTTGCTGTTGTGAGGGGTTGGATTTGCATCGCTTATATAGGCGATGACATGCGTCGAACATCACTGGCTGGCGTCATATGCTTGCTTGTGTTTGCTTGATGTTTACGTTGCAATCAAGCAAGTAAATGAATGATGATGATTTGACATATATCCGATAATCGGCTACAAGCCGCAACAATATCAACAATGAAAAACACAACTTCAATGAAAGTATCAAAAAGCGCATCTGGTCTCTGAGTGAACAATACCATGAAACGTACTGAGAACCTAAAAATGAAATAATCACGCATCATATTCTTAGTTTTGAAGTGCAATCGCCTATTCGTTTCGAGAATTTAGCTGGCGGTTTTTTTTCCAAAAGTTTTTTTTTGATGAACTACAAATAGCAACTGCTTGCCATACAACTTACGAGTAATTTATTGCACTCAAAGCTTCCTTACTAACTCGAAAAAAAAGAACAACAATGAACACGCTAATCACTGTTATTAGTATCGTGATCATTGCCATCGTTCGTAAAACAGCGCTGCAGACATTGTTATCATGAGAATTACCACTATCCAATAATGTCTAATTTATGATGTTCTTCAGTAGTATTCAGTCAATGCTTACTATATGAACCAGAATTAGGCAGTCATCAACCTCGTAGAGCACGTTGAATTTAGGAGGAAAAATTCAATCAATCAATTTTTCCACCTTCCTCTAGTTCATCAACATCGTTGGTTTTTTTCACGATTTATGATCTGTCGGAAACGTAAAAATGTTATTATCAGACTTTAAAATGCGCATAAAAAGCGCATATACATTCACACAGCTGATCGGTGCTTATCTCTCAAAAATCACGAGTTCCATTCGCATCATTCATTCTCCAAGTTCCATTTCGCCTCCCGTTTTCCGTCCTCTTTTTGATGCTCTTACGATCCTAACCATAAAAACTGCCAACTGAATGGCTCCAATATATCATTGATACTTTGCAGAATTTGATCATCTTGCAAACTATTGTTAAAGCGAATGGTTTTTATTCTCTGAGTTTTTTCTTGTTGACTGCAATCAAACATAAACATGTGATGCGTAATTACCTGGTTGCAAAATGCAACAACTTCTTTACTCACAAATTCGAGAGCAATTGTTTTGGAACATCGATCACTGGAACTCATTCGATTAGATTCGATTCGATGACAGAATTGAATCGTTAATGAAGATATCGAAAAGTAATCTGTGATGGTATGTTGGAAAACAACTGTGTGGTGGGCTCATGAATGCTACTTCGATTGTTGGGTTTTAGCTCGAGAAGAAATTGCTTTTTTTGACGCAAACTGCGGAATTTGGCATAAAGATGATGTGAATGCTGTACGCGGAAGAATACCTCAAAGGAATTAATAGAAAACTATACGGTGTCAATCTATCGATAAGTGCAGTGCGGAAGAGGCAAAAACGTCAGCGGAAATATTTGTCAGTGGTTATTTTCGGAAATTTGGCTGACGACATCTCTCCCCCAATAATCCATCATCGATCACCGGTCCTCCAATCCATCATCGATCACCGGAACTGATTCGATTGTACAGCCGTTGTGATCAAAGAGCTTGCTTTTTTTTTCGGTTCGAAGAAAAGTTTTATAGCTAACTCCCACGAACATATCTATCAAGATGAGCTATCGCCGAACTGAACGTAGCGATTTGAATTGAAATGTATGTTTGTGCTCAACTAACTACTCGAAACTGACCTGTAGTACACATCGTTTAATCGTGTTCATCGATGCAACAACATCTGATGTGAACCGTCGATTTATCAAACAACTCAATGAAGGAATGAATGAATACAACGTTGGAAAAATGCTCCGATGTATGGCTGAGAGGAGATGCGCTTATGAAAGCATTCTTAACATGCGAACAACAAGCAGTTTTCGACGGTGAACTTAAGTAACATCGGCAAAAACAATAGATAAATTGCTGGAAAACACAAATTACTTCACAAATATCATCACATGACATATCAAAAGTATTCGATAAGTGCAAAAGCCCTTTAGATTACGTCTGTTCTTCTCATTGATAATTGTGTTTATCTCTTCAGAATGTTCACAATGAACAAAATAAGGTTTCCGCATAGGATGAAAATAGTTACCGTAGCGAAGTTCCTTTCGCATAGAATTTGCTAAACTGTAGCGCTCTTACTAATTTATACTTACAAGCTCATAATCAGAAATTTTATATAATATTTGTCATTATTAATTTCCTTTTGATTGGCTCATCTAACATCGGAAATGCTCATTTTCTGTTGCCTCATCGCAGACTTGCCTTGCTGTCTAACAATAAGAGTTGACGGAAGAATTTAAAAACAATCTTGCAATATAGACAAGCTCAGGTTTCAATAAAGGCGCAAGTTTCCATTCTATGAATTATAACAAGCTATGATTTACAATAAGCTAACAGGATGAGAGTTTTCATGGAATGACTGACTAGGTTTCAACTTTAAAAAAATAGGGAATTTTAAAATCAGTCGGCAGAGGGATTTTTGACAAATAGTCATAATAGTTACTATGACTAACAATGATAACCACTAATCGTCACTATGACTGGACGAACAATTATTCAGTTACTATGAGATTTGTTTTATTTTGCTTTGTTTTCGAGTAATGAATTCTCGGATGAGTTTATCATATCATGTTATTATTATGATGATAAATTGTCAACAATTAACAACACACACAGAGCAGATCTCTTCGTGTAACAACATTTTGACATGTTCTAGACAATTTTAATGTGATACTTTCGTGAGTGATGAGGATTTGTTATTGTTTCGGTCATTCGAAAACAATATGGAAATATGATGAGAATGTCGTCTCGTCATCGATACATCGTCACGTGAACGATCGTCGATACGGAATCGATACGGAACAGCTATGAGATGGCCACAAATGTTGTCTGATCAACGCTTCGGGGGTGTTTCTTAAGTTACTTCAGATATGCATTCATAAATTGTTTTTGATTGCTTTTCTTTTCAAACGACAGCTCATCAATCTAAATCTCGACGTTATCATATTGTTTTGAATCATTTTAATTATTGACTGTTTGCTTTTATCTCATTTTGAATGCATAAAGAAGGCATTATTGAACTGCATTTGATAACTTAACTGTTGCAGCAATACACTAAATGAATGACTTACTTCATTAAGTCAGATATCTGAAATAAAAATGCAATACAAGATCTTAGTGTAACAGATTGTGATACTGACGAAATAAGTACTTGTAATATGACAATTGCGGTGTTTTCAACTAATAACTGAGCAAGTGGGTTTTCATTCGTGTTGATCGAGTGATGTGACTGCGATGAGGAAAAGGAAAATGATAATAATAACAATAGTAATGAAACTGATAATAATAATGATTATGATAATAGTACTGATAATGGACAACATTGTAAAACAACGATGAATTAAGAATTTTTAATTTTCTTACTGACTATTTTTAACTTCATATCCGCCTTATTACTTTGCGGTGTTAAGTGCTGCTTAATTGCAAACAAATTCATTAATTTTGTTGATAAATCGGCGATCAGCCGAATGTGATGAAAAAATACGTTAGATTGATCCATTAAATGCCTCAAAAAATCAGTTTCATTGTTTGATGTTTCGAGAATTCTCGTAGTTTCATCGTTTGAACAACATTCATTTATCAATTTCGGATGGTGGAGGAGGTTCGTGTTAGGTTGATAAAAAACTAGTCGAAGAGCATTTGTTTCGAGTTAGTGTTGTGGGCGAATTTTGTGAACTTCATTCATTATGAAACAATTAATTAATTTCCATTAAATTCTTTCAAATTAAAAGTTAATGTCCGAAAAAGTCTAAATCTCAAAAATTGAGCAATCACAATAGAACGCTCAAAGATAATCACCTGATAATGGTAAACAAAACGTTCTAACATCTTTAGAATTTCGTAGTGCTGTTTGATTTTCTGAAATCGCTTCCACTTAATCATAAACAGATGAAATCTCCTGCTGTACAGGTTGCATCAGGTGGATCCGTGAGAAAGTATTTGAAACGATTATTCTTATCAAAATTTCATTCAAAATCACTTTTCAAGCACCAACCTTGCCCACGGATAATTTCAGTCTCAGTCCAGAGATACGAGCGTGAGAGAGACAACTATAATCAGCAGATCACAAAAGCACAGAACATAATAAAATTGCTATTTTGAATTGTCAAATACATCGAATGTAAATGATAATGATAGCGTGTAAATTTAACGAAAGCAAGTAATCACGATAGCCTACGTTGTTTCTTAAACAACCGCAGACAGGAACTGCACTGAACTCAACTTTTTCCATACCCCAAATCGAATACAGAATATTTTCACATCGCAATAGGTCATTCTGTCGCAGTTTCGCTTATGACAAAGTGAAGAGAATCATAGAATGAAAAGAACACTGGACGCTGCGAATTGGTAGGAATAGAGAATGAGAGGGCCGCTCAGAGAGTTTGATTTCGCAAGTATTTCTGATGCAGCAATGACCTATTTAAGAATGCTGGTTGTTTGGAAGCTGCTTGACTCAGTCGTGCATATCAGCTATTTGAATTCATCTAGAAGGTTACGTGATTGTCATACCATCAGCCACCAACAAAGTTTACAGATGAGGTTTTTCGCTCTCAGGTGGTAGTGCAAGATGATATCACTTATTCTTGTAAACATTTGTAATTTTCTAAAAAAANAAAAAAAGCAGTCAAAGTTTTTTCTTGACTATTCGCAACTTTCTGAATTGATTATCATATTCAAACTTTCAAACTTTAATTGGCCAACCTAATGTCAATGATGTGATGCTCCATGCGCAGAATGTTCTCATCTATCACTACGTTATCACAAACAATTTAAAAAAATTGTTTCCAAATAAATCTACCGATACTCTCTTGAAGTTGTTTTTTAAAGATAATTTCAGTCAGTAATGTATTCAGAAAATAGAGCTGTTTGTTCAGTGATGATTGATGCCGAAATGTTTAAGTACGCAACATTAAGGAACAACGGAAAACTCACCTTTTTATTTATTCACTATCCGAGCTAAAGTGTTTTTTCTTTAGAAGCTGCAAATCGTCAAGTAATAATATTTGACAAATATTAAGTCATAAAACTGCTTTTAAGAAATCGAACCAAAACTCGTGCTTTTCATTAAATGCATATTCACAACACTCAATGCAACTACACAATTCCAATTGAGAGGGTATAAATCTAATAGATATGAATGTTAAAAAACATTTGCATTGCTAATGTCTGAAGAGCTATATAGAATAACTGGTTTGTTGAGTTACCTTTCAGGTATTGTCTTTCTGAATAATATTGTTACTATTGCTATTAGTGTTATTCTAATTGCCATTAACGTTGACTTTTGAATGCGGTTGACATCAAAATGTAATTTGGTGTATTTGTTTATTCTTTCGTTTCAATTCTATCAGTTACTTCCCTTTTTGGATTTTGCTATTCTCAACATCTTTGTGTTACAATGCTGTTGGATTGCTCATAGATATTCTGTATAAGATCATCTTCTACAGCAGCAATTCCCACGCTCGGGTGTTCCATTACCGTCTAGCAGGCCATCATCATCCCCTACTACTGCTACAATAATGCTACTTTTACGTATGACATCAGGACTAATTTCCTGACCCTACTATTTCCTTCCTGATACCCCCCAAATTGCCTAATATGAATAATTTACTCCCATATGAGGAACCGTGTTCTAGAGTCAAATGGTTCCGTTTCGAGATAGATGTTGAACCTTTCTTCCTGATATTCTCAGTGAAATCAACATTAACTTTCATTCATTTCATAACATTGGATAGTTTAAGCGCTTCACACATAGTGTGATGACATAGCGACATATGTAAATGAGCATTTGTAGGATGTTCATCGTGTACGTACAATGTATTCTTGTATAATGAACAGATAAAATCGAAATGATTTTTATTACGAAATATGCATGCGAAATGAACACAACGAATGCACGCTGCTCCATCTGATATAATCCAGCTGTCGATATTATCGTTCACTGGTTGATTAATCGTTCCGATCACATCAGCTGGTCAGCCGACGCAAGGTATACTAACTTGTCATGCACATTTTTTTATTCATTCACTCTTATCAGATCCATGTTTTACATCGCGATGTTGGACACAAATTTTCAGTATGAACAATTGTTGCAGCACATTCATCCTTGTCATTCGTTTTCATTTGTTCTAAAAGAATTGATCTCCAGTGAAAAAGTTGATCGAAAAATTTCTAGACTTCACCCCAACTATTCAGAACTCCACAGTTCTGCATGTAAAGATGATAAATGAATCCTTTACTATCACTGAGTATTGTACCATCTTGATCGTACCATCTGCTGTGTTTTTTGATTTCTTCATTTCAACTTCTTCAACATATTTCTACTTCTCAAGATTAACAACGATTTCGAAAAAGTTATCATTAATATTCTACCTTTTGAGATACAAATGGAATCGAATCAGATACACTAGTTTTATAGAATGGATATAAATAGTCAACGTATGGTAAGACCATCACAGGCTATTAGACCGTCCCCGTCTGCTGCCTCGAGGCAGACGTTCGCAAGACCTTCGTCTGCCCCTAAACCATCGGTGGCCTTTATCGCCAGCCAAAACCGACGAAATACTCATTTGCACATTGCAGCGAAAGTAAGTTTCAAGCAAAAGCAAATGAACAGCAGCACATCGCATATTATTTTCTTATTATTTTTCTAAATTTTCGGAATGTGAATCGAAATATTTTCACGATCAGCATAAAATATGCAAAGTTCCTCAAAAAAAACCTCTTAAATCAATGAGAATAGAGAGGAAAAACAGGATCATCTAAACAGCTGTTCAAATGTTCAAAATACCTATAAATGCGTCAACTTTTCAAAGCGTTTTCTGCAGGACCGAAAAATTTCGAAAGCATACCAAACCACAAAAAAAGGTATACTTCATTTGACGACTCCGAAACGACATTATTCGACGACACGAAAAGATTCTCTCAGACAGTACAAAATCTCGGTTATAGATCAGGTTCGACATCAATTTCTAGTTATGTCATTCTCATTTCGTCATTCAACAATTTGCATATTCGCATAACTTTGCCCTTTATCGCCTCAACCATCAACCTTCTCTGAACCACACAAGTGTTCAAAAGTCAGCAGACTCACATTCAAAATCATAATCTTCTCTTTCGATGAAATCAGTTAAAATTGATTGTTTCATTTAAAAAATGGGCCGACGCTTCGGTCCGTTGAGGGTGAACTGATCGTGAGTGAAACTAGCTGCCGAATGGCTACTCCATTGTGGCGTACTGCTAAGAATTTCCTAGAAGTCTTATACAATTCCATTCGTCGAATATTATTTTCAGTATAACGCTGACTTGAAAAGATGTACTGTAGTTAGATCGTAGGCGCGTTGAAGTTTCTCGCAGATTAGTGAATCATCGACTTGCAGGCATATATCGCAAGACAAAAGGATACACCAAGCTCAGTGACCACAGTCTTTACAGTTGCGGGTCTTTTCGTCGTTTCAATAACAGTGCTCATAAGCGGTACCATAATATTGTGTCAGGTGAATATTTCAATAGTTTTCATTTTGGTCGTCGAAGATCATCGAATCGTATTGCTAAAATATCCCGTGATCTAATCTGATCGCATCGATGGAACAAAAGCTTATCGTTTCAATCAGCAGGGAATGCGTTTGATAACTCAAATTTCTGTATTATCGAAAACCGTTCGAGTAGATTGGCTCAGTATTTGAAAATCTTGCAGAATTATTTGAAAAGTAATTTTTGCAACGGATCTAGAGTTGCAATGAGATATATGAATAGCTGTATCGCTCAGCTACTTGTACCATTTATTATCGATAAAATCCCTCCTCAAAAAAGTGGTAGTCTAGTTCTCATAAGGAAAAAAAATTTCGAAAAACGCATGACCATCAATCAAAATTTGTTTGTCAGTTGCGAGCTTCCTCCAAAAAAAATTCTTCGATGGAATTCTTGCTGTTCATGAAGCAAGTTGAAATTCTGACTGAGTTAAGTCAACATTATGCACAGATGTGATCATAGTTCAACAGGAAGCTTCTTGAAATGATATTATTGACATTACAGCATCAGGGTTATGCATTCGATATATTCGGCTACGGTTTTGTGATATTCGGTTTGACCACACTCTGTCTGTGTGCGTTTCTCCAGCGCAAAAATCTTATGAAACTTATCAACGAGTGGACCAAAGATGTTTATAGCAATTATATGAACAAATAATCACAGCACTCATCATCATCGATATTATTATCATCGTTTCTTCCATTTTTCACCGAACACTGTAAGAACTCATCATTACCTTACAAGTTCTCGTTGTGAAAATATTATGCTGAAATCATTATCGGTAGAAGTTACCAATGTCACTTTACTGGCCACGCAACCAATTAACATTCCATTTGATGAATTGCTGAGTGATGATTAGGTGAATACAATAGCAAGATTTTATCTGTATCGTCAAGAAATCCAATTCAAGTAGTTGTGTTCGCAGAATATTGTGAATTTGAATTCAATAATGAACACTACATCAGAAACTGTGACCCTTAAAGATTTTTTTCATTTTAAAGATGACAAAATCATTTTTGTCGTTATCATTTTGTCAACAAAATCGTTATCATTTTTGAAGATGACAAAATCAATTACAAAACTGATTGAATGTGCTGAAATATCGCTCACTTTGAGAAATGACAGCAATAAATCAGAGAAGATCATATGACAGATGAGCTCGTTTAGATGTTAATTTTTCCAACCTGAAGCAAAAAAGTTGCAGTACTTAATACTAGCATTTAGTTGCATAAACACTTGATGAATGGCTTTAAAATGCTAAATCACGAACATCGTTTTCACGGCATTAATAAAACTTGACAACTGAGATCTAGCAAATGTTCGCTGCGATTAGAACAACGTGGATTGATGAATCTTTAAACGATTTGCTCAAACATATTATTTTGTGTTGCAAACAAAAAACACTCCATCATCACAAATGATTCGAATAGCTTAATTTTGAATGCTTCGCTCATTTCCTCCTAATATGCTTGAAACTTTGGTAGTGGAATTGAATCATGTTTCCAGGATTGAATAAGATAAGCACAGAATCATGCCTTCGAATCACTCTTTCCGCACCAAAAATGAAGCATCTCATCGTCAGATATAGAGAAACTTCCATAAATTTCTAATCTTTCTAGCACATTGCAGCTGTTCAACGACGAATTCTTGCGATTCCACGTTCTGGTTGGTGTCTGCATAATCGACATGCCAACAACTTGTTGATCGATGTGCGCAATATTAACTGATTTGTCGTAAGTTTTTATGAATTCATAGAAAATATGTGTATGTCTCTGTAATTTATTGCTCATTTGTGGAAATAAGTGCATGATCGATATTTCATTGTTTGCAAACAGTACATTGTTCATGAAAATCGTAAGTGTCACGCTCCATCCATGTGCCATAACAAGAAATTATCAATGTGGAATAATTCATACCGCCAATCCGGTTCCTCCATTATTTGTATCAGTGTCTAATTCCGTCTCAACATTCCACTATTTGCTTTCGGTTGTCCTCTTTCGCTATGTTGTTCGCTTCAATTTGTAAATGCAACGTTTATTGTTTAATGGATTTGAATTGTTAACTTATTTTACTGACCATTGTGCATAGAGAATGAATCAACTGTTGCAAAACTCTCAATTTTTCATTTGCGCAATAAGGAATTAATTCTCCGCATTGAATGGATGATTTTGTGTTGAATATGGCCTGTTACCTCCTCAACAAATATGAATAGATTGTTGTCATCATCAGCCCATCTGATGCAACTCGAACTGATCTCATCATCCATTAATAGCATTCAATTTTACTACCAATAAGGATTTAGACATAATAGTCGTCTCGTGACTCGTTATTTTTTCTCTCGTGATCACTGAACGTTCAAAACTATCACATCACTCGGTCTTATCTGTATGGTCATATGAATTACTGATAAGGCACGTGGTTTCTAGCTTATGTTCTGTATCATTTTAATATCATATATTGATGTGCATATTATTTTCAATATATCGTGCAGAGTGTTTCGTATCAGTTTTCAAAGAGAATATTGTACAGTCCAAAGTGTTTTAATTGTTCCCATTTCACTGAAAATATTTTCTCAACGAGAATTTTGCACAATTTCCGCCTGGGATATTTTTTTGGTTTTGCCTTTAATATAATATTGTATGCAAACAAACAAATAAAGTGATTTTATTCACCGTTGTGCCCTGTTCTTTTACACCTTAAAACATTCAGTGCCATCTGATCAATGACATTAGAAATCAGTTGGCAAACTGATTTGTTAGCTTTCTCATATTTTCATTGACAGTGCAATTTAGCAACTTACATAATATCGATTCTTATGACCAATACGATGATATACTCATTTCACTATTTGCTTTTGTTTGATCAAGTATTGAATTGCCTATTCGAAATCCTTTCAAAGCATTCAACATATACAAAATTTTATCAGCCACGAGAAATGCAAACAAATAACTGACGAAAAACAAACTGAATGAATCAGTCCATCACGGTTTGCGGATTCCTTTTCACTTTTGCTTATTTCGTTATGATAATGAAACTATTGCTTTTGTTTGACTTAGAACAAATTTTCAACGAGTTTTCCCACATTTCGATTGTACTTTCTTCGACAAGTTCATTCTTGAGGCTATGTAGTATCGTCTTTAGGCGTACTATATGTGCTTGGGTCAAACTCACAGCAACAATGCCACGTTGAACACATCAATAATGATCAGTCGTTTAGTAGATTCAACTCATTCGTGTTTTAAATAATTGCAATTTTTCTTGACCTTCCCTATTTTCAATTAGAAATAAACCTGATCAGAACGTCACTCAGTTAACGGTCATTTCACGGAAAATCTCGTTAATTTTGTGAAAGGACTTACTATTTCTGCATATAACGTCAGGAACAAACGGAAAACCGATCCGGAAATCTCTCAGCGGCGTGAGAGAAATTAGTGTCCTAGAGACCGCTATGTTGCTCGTTACTACAATCGATTATGATTGCATGAAAAGCCATTATCCATGACACGTTCACTTTAAACTGATTTCGATGGATTCTCATTCTTTTCAGACGTGTTGTATTCACTCTCATAGCTATTGCATGAGAATATCGTTTTCTTCATGACTTTTTCTCATTCACTTCGTCTCATTTCACTTCACTGTTCGAATCAATTTCTCATTCAGTAGCATATACTATTTACTGAATACGTTGACGAGTATCGACAGCCGAAATCAAGAGTACAGCAATCGAATATTATTGCTCAACAACGTTCGACTGTCAAATGAACAATTATAGAGTGTATTTGATAGAATGAGAATTTGAGTTTAATTGTTGAGTGAAATAAGTGAGAAATTAGCAGAAGAGAACACTTTTAGTGATAAAAGCTACGAGAGCGATTGTAGCAGCAAGAAAAAGAATGAAAACCATGTTAAAAGGAATGAAAACTGTGTTAGGCCTGGACGAGCTAATGATACTCAGAAAATATGAGAATGAAGAGTGTTGCCATCAACTAACCGCGTTTACATGTGTATCCGAGTTAAAAACACCATCACAATGGCGTTCTGTTACAACATAACAACTGCACGATATACTAATTTCCCGAACCCCTTCATTACCCTTTGACACCTCCAAATTGCCTGAAATGGGTAATTTCATCTCCTATAATAAGTGATTATGTTTATAGTTGTTATTTGCATAATTGTTTATAATTGTTGATGATTGCATAAATAGTTATCTCATTATGACTTCGACCGTAATCGATAGTAAACTTAAATGTCGCAATTGATTATCATCAAATAATAAAATTGATTCGCGTCAATTTCTTCAGCATTGAATATGTCATAAACTTTCTAAATGATGAAGTAAATTCTATTTTCCATTGATTGCATATTCGTATTTCAGAGAGAATTTGATGTGGACAGGTAAAGGTAATGAAACGTTGAGCGATCTACATCTTTAGTGATCGTTATTTAGTGCACACTTGAGAAGATGGATCAAGATGGAAGACAACAAGCTGTGGAAGCAGAAATATACAGACCATTAGAAGATGTGACCCTTCAGTCAAATATCTCGATGTCCATAGCAGCCACCGACGAAACTCGCAATCGAGTAAGTTTAAGCGTGTTTTCAACTGATTACCAATATTACTTTCATCAAGTGGCGTTATGAATTGAAATCATCAAGTAATTGGCTTTACCATGGTGTGTCAATTTATTATCGTATCAATTTTCAATGCACAATACCTGTGCATCGTCGAATTTATTCAGCAATAATGTGGAAAATTTGTTAAAATAATCTTATCTTAATCCGTCTTTATCGCGAAACTTGCGATTGCCAAACGATCAAAGTGAGCAATAAGAAAATCATTAGTAACCTACCTAAAAAATTTTCATAATATTATACCGTCAGTTAGGATACATTATACCGTCAGTTAGGATACAGTTAGGATATATTGCAGTTCAGTGGTCCAAAATTATCACATTGGTTTCACATTAGGAGTTTCCGAAAATTCAGATTCGAAATCGCCGTTCACCGTTCAGTCGAGTGATCAGTCGTTCCGGTGGCCCCATCGTTGGTGGTGGTCGGATCAGCGAAGTGGACGCTTTGGATTATTCAGACGGCGGCATTGCGAAGAATCTTTGTCTACGGTAACAGTAAAAATCAGTTGCTTTTCGGAGAGTTGTTCTTCAATTGATCTGATCGACTAACTGAAATGTAGTTCACTGGAGCACTGAAGTTGTGCACAAATTCTGATGAAGCATAGTTCACGACCTTAAACTGAAGGATCGATTCCTAACACAAAAATTCCATTCTTCCAAAGTCGATCGAAACTCATCGAATTGTGAAAACTTCCAATTTCAGTCATTGAACAATTATGTTGGCACAGGATTTATGGAACTGGGCGATTTTTGACTATAAAATGTGATAAAATTATACATTTGCTTATTTTATATGGCGATTTTCGGAGATTCATTGCGATTTGACGTTTGCAGATGTTCTGAAATCAACGTTGAGCCTGTGATATTTCTTTTCTCAATAACATTCGCGCTCATCCTGACAGTTCAACCGCTGTTTCTGTATTGGGCAAGATGTATCGAGCTATTTCAAGATTCCAAAAATGTATTCTTTCGTTTAATCGTTTGGGTTTTTCTTTGCATAATATTCTGCTTCATTTAATGGAATTATCGTATTTCCATTGGATCGATGTGGTCTTGCTGGATAATGCTTGATATTCCACAATTCTTTAAATGAATCATTCAGTAGCTGTTGTCCCATGAAAACTGAGTGCATTTAACTGCCGGTCTAAGACTAAGAAGCGAAATTCACCCAAAAATTTCAAGCCATACGAGTTCGGCTGATCTCCTTCAACTGATCTGCTTCCAGTTAAGTTGAGCGACACATTCCTTAGAGTAACGGAACAGTGAGTTTTATGCTCAAAATTTGGGGACTGTTTATCAAAAGTTGTTGTGCTTAGGAAGTTTTATCACAATTCAAACAGAGCTGTCAACGTTTAATTCAGTTCTATGTTGCAGTTTACCGATGGCAACGAAACTTTTCATAATGTATCCGAATTATGTGCTCAACTGTCACAACCGAACAACAGTTATTATCAAGATATTGTTGAAAAGGATATCGCATCTACAAAAATATTACTTCAAATTGCTAGCGGTATACCAACCCTTATAACGGCACCTATTATTGGTGCATGGTCTGATGGAAGCGGAGGTTCTAATTTCAAATAAGCGTACAGAGCGCACTCGTTCCATTACATTTGCACTAAACTTCGTCACTTGATCTATCGATTATCAGTGTTAATTCGTTGCGATATCCGCAAAATGCTTAATTTCAAGGATTCATCCTTTCAAAACACGTATTGATTGTGATTCAAAAGTGCTCAAACTTATGGAGTTTTTCGAGGAGTTATGTGTCAATCATTTGAGCGGGAAGTTTAACGATAAGTTCATGGCTATAGATAAATTTTGAGCTACCCTCAATCCAACACAATTCGGTCCATTCTTGTATACGTTACAGAACAATGTTGAGGAAGCCTCATAATAATATCAATAGTAATTGATAACCTCTCATCTAGGGGGAAGTAGTCGTTGGGTCACAATTTTCAAATATTTCTTTGTATCATGAAGATTTTACGATACAATTTTTAAAAATATTTTGTAGCATATTCTATTATTGAATCATTAATTCTAGGTCGGCGTCGACCGTTATTAATTGGATTATTCGGTCTTTTGCTCTACTCACTGCTACAATTCGCCTCTACCATATTCTATAAATCAGTTAATGTTTATACAATACAGTATCTAGCTGAGTTGACAATAGGATTTTCCGGTGGAATCGCAACTATCTTCACGGCATCGTTTGCAATCGTAACTGACGACTCAAGACATCAAATGGCTCCAGTTTGTTCCAATTTCTTCTCTAATTTTTCATTTGTTTGCTCCATTTTGCCATCAAATAAAGAATTTTGAATTTACATTTATCCTACCCTACTCAACGAGGTTACGGAGACGCACATGAAATGATTATATCCAGCCATACGAATATAACCAAATTTAATCACCACATCCCATTTCATAGTCACAGAATCTCGTCTGCAACTGCCATGTCTTCTGCACTACAGTGTATCCACAACTCCAGAATTCATCAAAACTTCATCCAAACACAAATATTTAACTTACAACCAATTGGTATTGACTTATGACAATGACATTCTATCCTTGAGTTCACACAGTTCACGCGCTTAATGTGTTTATATAGTGATGGAAAAGCTTCAGGGTACCAACAAAATCCCACTCCGAATCGCCATTGCAAGTGCTTTGCAATCGCTCGGTCTCGTGGCCGGTAACATGATAGCGTCTGTCTTCTCGATATCACCAGCAGTCTCAATTCAACTACACGAAATCGGATACGTTAAAAGCACCGCCATTTCGTTCACAGTTGTTCTTGTGGCTATACTCTATACATTATTGTTTGTTCGAGAAACATATCAGAATCAATTCATTCCCGTGCAAGGTTACTTTTTTTGCTACTAATCTCCTGTCTCGTTCAGACTGCTGTATCCGAATAATTTGCCTTTCTTAGGGATTTTATGTGCTTCGCAGATCATACGAGGCATTGAATGATCATCAACCATTGCTACATAAGCGAGAGATTTGGCAATTTTTTAGACATTTCTCACAAAAACGAAATTTTTTGGAAGGAATTCTTAATCGAAAGTTTTTTGACCTGGAATTAAGAGAAATAATGAATACGTACAATGACAAATGCTTGAATGCTTCAGGCACCGGTTCGCTGTCCATTCGTCGACCTACGCTTCATTTGAGTGATGCTTCGACGCCAACCACTACGGGTAGTCCAAGGCGAAATTATTGGAAATCGTTCAAGTTGTTCTTCTATGATCTCGTTGAAGTAGTTGCTGCGCCCAGGCATGGATGGGCCAGATTTTGCTTGAACCTTTCAATATGCTTCACTTTTGTTGAATTTTTAGCGATAGGTTTGTTCATCACTCAATCGTTTACTTATTTCGCTTACATATGTAAACGGTTATTATTAATGTGCGTTTTGTTTGCAATTGGCGTTTATTTCGATAGTAATATCTTTAACGAAAATTTCAGCTAGAAAATACTAAAATATCTGTCGTCATCAATATCATCAAATTTCCTTGATTTTGAATTAGTCCGTCTGTATATCATTACAAAACTACTTCGTTCTGAAACGTTCGCAAAATAAGTACACACTCAAAATGAACATGGAGAAGTCGCTTGTAGATCAATCTTTTGGAAATGTATTATTTTTCGGCATATGCCACTAGGAACTTTCGTCATTGTTAACGTTGTGAGGTTCTCCTTTCTCATTTTGAATCAATATTTGAGAATCGGCAATTTCACATTAAGCTATCAAACTAGCAATTTAATCATTTTAACCAACAGTCGGATTTTCAGATAATCAACTTCTGTTTCTTCTTGTAAAACGATTTCCTTTCGAATGGTCCGATAAAACGTTTACGTATTTTTCCACATTTAAGAATCTTGTTTATTCCGTCGGTATGATCGCAATTCCGTTCGTCACATCCAAAGGTTCTTGTTTGGGCAAAGGTAAGCATGTTTTTGTTTGACAGTGTTCCTGATTCCTTAAGAGACGTTCAGGCATTATGAGTTCTTTGATCAAACGTTTGCAAAATATCAGTAATGTCAGTGCAAAAGCAGAAATACAACTGATCATCAAGATGCTTTGGTTGGTAATTTCTGACATCAATTAAGTTTAACAACATGAAGAGATTAGAGCACGAGATGATGATCTGGTAAAGAAAAGAATTCGTTCAACATCCTTAAAAGCTTGAAGAAATACAGGATTCTAGGAAATTTACGAAAATATATTTTACTGGTAAATACACTTATCTATCGAATGACAACTTCAATATTTTCGCCGTTTCGATGGCTTATTTACATATTTCAATATGAATCCATTTCATTCTAAACCTTGCGCTTATCACAAATCATTCAGATTCTTTACTAATAATGATCGGAGTATTTGCCAGCTGTGTACAGTTCGTATTATATTCAGTTGCAAACGATACAATGTTAATTTTTATAGGTTGGTTTTTAATTGTAATCAAAATGTTCAAGACTAATGTTACATAGTTTAGGCATTTGAGATTAGAATGCATTTTTGGAAATGATCTATGTGTAAGATTTGAATTTGTTTGCAAAGATGATGCAGCATGCAATCCGAATGCATTTATATGAATGATATATACTGGAAGGTTGTATGATTAATAAATCAGTGATACACATCAGCAACACCAATGAGAATTAATATACGCGAATTAAGAACAAAGAATGCAACCTGAGGTTGCAAATTCGCGAGATTCGTCAATGTTTGTAGGAATAATACCATGAAGTATAACAGCTGTTTAATTGTAAGATTCATTCTCATTTCAGCCGGATCATTCTCATGTTTTGCTGGTGCGATAGCACCAGGCTATCGGTCGTTCTTACCGAGATTTGTCGCTAAAGAAGAAACCGCTAGACTCTTCGCTATTTTCGGTATTGTTATGGTAAGAGATACGTATGCTTGAATGGCGTTAAGAATATGTTACACATAAAAATATTCAGCATCTTTTAGTCATTGACTAATAATGACTGAATGAGTAAGTTCAGATGGAGCGATGATTGCAAAACCAACAACTTCCGTTTGTTATCATCTGTGAAAATTACTATGTAATGATCATGTAATATTCAGTTCAAAATAGTCTCCTTGCAGGTATTTTGTCCCATTCTCTCAGCATTCGTTTTCAACAATATCTTCAACGCAACCATTGACATGTGGCCTGGATTCGCATATCTTGTGGGCGCACTCTTCCAATTAATTGTTTTTGTCGGGCAAATGTTTGTTTTCCGCCGAGATTCATATTTCCATTTGCTTTATTGTCTTTCAGAAGTGAAAAACGTGTTTGATTTGTTGCAATGAAAGAGCAAAATGCACATTATCCGAAAAATTCCATATAATCTCTCGAATGATCTGAACAGTGGAATGGTGGAACATTTTTCTCAATGGAAATTCACTCGAGTTCCACGAGTCTTTGTTTCAGTATAATCCATCGACTGATGATGCCACAATGGCGAGAAGAACGGAATGAATTGAACGGAGCCGAGCAGGAAAGCCTACTTCGGAATGAGGATGATGAAGACGATGAGCCGGATGGACCAGAATCACAACGACGAAATCTCGTTGATCCGAATAGTGCAGATGTTGGATCAGTAATGAATCGATCCCTGTCAAACACCGCCATCCATTCGTCGAATGCAAGTCCAGGAGCGAGCAGCAACGATACCGGCAGTCCCTTGTTAACTCAAGATTGTGATCAACAACAAATTAACCAAACAATATAACTTTACAATTCAGTTTTTTAATGACTTCGATGAAGCTATGACTCGATTAAACTATAACTTATTAGATTCAAGCAGTTCAACAATCTGCTATTTAAATCAGAGATAACCTCTTTTGAAATTATTACACAAGTGCTTTGTAAATCAATGTTACTGTCCGTCATTTCACGGATGCATTATAAAATAATTAGTAAAGAAGTCCACTAATATTTACTGTCAAAGAAAGCTTATACTTCATTACTAGCACACCTTCATGAACCATGAAACTTGAACCGATTTTCAAAACATTCCTTTCCAATCATATATTCCTCTCAACATCTTTATCTTTTCATTTCAAGGAGCTTAAAATTCAATCAATTGATGCTCTAATTGTACGATTTCAATATTTCGTTTGCATCTTCTCAGAACGTTCCGTCATGTGACGGTCTATAACGTTCCGTCATATGTTATATATACATATGTGTATATACGCAATAAAAATTATTTATATAATTTTCTTTTTTGATCGTCGACAATTTAACAAAAAAATGTTTTCATATTTCTCCAAAATTTTACATACTCGGCAACGCTCATTTCAGTACACCGCATAGTGTAAAGTGCATACAAATTGATCAAATTGCACATTACTCAAGCAATACCAGAGACACCAAAATATCCTGCTCTCAGGTTCGCCGAGTAACATGCCAATTTTTTTACATCATTGGACTCCCCAGATTCTCTGCTTTCAGAAATGTATATGTGTTGTCGAGCGATT